TAATAATCGTTTGAGCCTCCCTGTAGGCAAGGGAGTCAAAGCTGTAACTCCCCAGCATTATTTTATATGATTATACTTGCTGAAGCGCCCCTCCCTGGCCACATGCAGCTGCAATAAAAAGTCCAATCATTAGGCAAGAAGTACTTCAACAACGTGTGCACCCCTCGGTGTGAAGACGATAGCCATGTGCGGTTTCCCGTGTATGCCATAAAAAGCTGTGGGATGCTTGCCTGCCCGTGCCTCCAGTGAACTGGCACAATGTCTTGTGAAGAACACACAGGAAGCTTCAGAGCACTCCGACCAAGGTGGATTTATATGCTCTGCACACAGCTCCCACCTATTTAAGACACGTGGACATATTTATCTCAATGGATTTGCACACAGAGGAGGCAGGGTCTTCCTAGCAGTGTGAGCAGGGCAGTTATCTTGTACCGGATTATTTAGTTAGATCCTTTTATTTTTCTGGGGAAAGTTAACTTCAAGTTGGTGAACAGAAGCTTGTATAAAACATTTTCCAAAAAACACAAATCTATTTTTTTTTTGCTACATTTTCTAGCGCCCCCCCCCCATGTAATGGAAAAGCAACATCTTTATAATTGGCACTTGACATGCTGTTTGCGTTGGGCTGTGGTACACCAAGCACAGATTTCCTGTTGATGGAAACATTTATCATCGTGATTGCCCCAGAGTGGCAGGTGGTGTTATCAATTACCTCTTCTTACCAATAATAATATTAGTATGGTAATATCTTTGCTCAAGTGAGAACCAATTAGCGGTCACTTGTCACAGCATTAAAGACACAAAATCATGCTGAATTTAACCCTAAGGACCTAGAACAAAAGTTGGGGGTGGGGAAGGAACTGAAGCGAAGGAGATGCCCAGTGAGTAGAAAAAAAGGAACTTTGGAAGGAAAAAAGAATACAAGGCGACCCCCCCCCCCCAAAAAAAATGAAACCCCTAACATGTGAATGCCCAGTTTGTATTAAGTTTGGGGAAATAAACACATTATAAACAAAATGTCAAATGCACCTCATGAAAAACTGTCTTTTGTGCATTTGGGGCCAGGTAGCTTCCATGAACTGTGACTGTAACGTTAAATTAGGACTATTCAACCTCCCCTTGTCAAATCAACCTTAGATAGGCTTTCTGTTTTATCTGAATAAATGATACAAATTAAATCAAACACCTAATTATATGTTTCACTAATGTAAAATATACAGTATTAATTTGTAAATAATATTATTAAGCAGACAAAATAATAACATGTCACCTCTTAAGATGAAAACAACATGGCAAGAGGAACAAGACAATTAACAAATTAGATTTAATTATAGGAAAGAAAAGCAACTTTTGTTTTTGCAATAGTGTTTAGGTATTGCAATATTTTAATAGACAGTGGTCATGTGATGATAAGCATGCATATGCCTGGTGCCAACTGAGTCAGTGTCTGCACCTCTGCTCTATATTTCTGTATATTAATCTGTACACAACCAGAGCAAGCATGCTGCCTCTAATCTGTGAAAATACCTCATTGACACTTTGCAATAAATATATTATTGCCACTAAGGCTTAAAATACAAATGCTTTCATTAAAGCTTGCCACACTGAATGAAAACTGAATAAAGGTTTCCGATCTGAGTGTGGGGAGGTGAGAAACAGAAAGGAACAGGTAAATCAGGAAGTTGTGTGCCTTTTCGGCTTTCTATCCTCGACAATCATTAGAAGGGTGCCCCTTTGGTCCACTCCAGTGCAGTACTTGGGCTAGTCCAGTATTTAGAGGGGATTTGTGCGGGTTACCGTTGCACACAGCCTTCTGGCCCTTTCTTCCAAGTCTCTGCTCCATCTTCTCAACGAAATTCCAGGGCAGCCTGTGCAGAGTGAGATGTGGAGCCTACCTTCATCCAGGCTGCTGGGCCCTATGCTGCCCTGACCCTGGGACAGGAGCCCACCCCAGGCTGGTCCAAAGTGAGAACTCCACATCCTGCCCCCAAACCAGCTCTTTTCCACAATGACCACTCAAGCCCGAGCCCCGCCTGCTTTACCTTTCCACTTAGGACTCGCTGAGTACCTCTGAAATCTGAAGGCTTGCTTCTTAACACATGAAGAACTGGGCTCAGATTTGCCTTCACTGGAGGTACTTAAAAGATCCTCCCGGTGACCACACCTCATAGAAAATGCAAAGTCCATGAAATTAAACAGCTGCATTTGGAAGCACCAGAAAGACGTGGGAAAATCATTCCCGTCGTTGTTTTGGAGAGACTGATGAACGGGGGTGGGAGTATGAGAGGACCTCAACCACAAAATGGTGGGGAGGGACAGGTGATGTGACCCAATGAGGAGCCGGTGCCAAGGGCCAGGTAGCTGTGGAGGGAGCGGGATCAAATCTTCCCTGAAAGTATTCAGACGCGGTGGGAACCTGCATTTGCTTCTTCTTCCCAAGTGTGTCGATTACAAGAGAAAGTGAAAAGAGAGGGATTCATCAGGTCATAGAAGACAGCGCACCTTTTGCAAGAGGTGGTAGCAACTCATGAAGGTTCTATGATTTCTCTTCTAGAAAGAAATGGCAATGTCTGCCTTCCTGCCGAGGCACTGCGACTTCCCAAATTCCTGCCGATCCTGTAAATCTGAAAAATTTCCCGCTCTTTACAACTCTACCCCCCATGTACACACACACACACCCACACACAACACACTTTCATTTTTTCTCTTCCCACTCCTGTAACTTTCTCTGCCCTCTTCCCAGGAAGAATTCCTGCCCTCGCTCGCCCCAAATACCCGAGCTACAAACTTTTCACCACCGAGAGCGCCTTTGCGCCACACGCAAGAGCATCCCCCAGATGCTTGCAGCCTTCGCAAAACTTCACTGCGCGACTGATGTATAAAGACATTTCGCCTCAGAGCTTAACTGTAAAAGCGCAACCGATGTATGTTTAAAAGGAAAATCTAGATTTCAAACATCTTTTATTTAACAGCCTTTCTTTGGGGAAAAAATCACCTATGTGAATACGCTCTCCACCAAAAGGCAAAACAAAACCAACCTTAAGATTTTTTTTTTCGTAAGTGGCTCTTGGGGCTGTTTGGAGACGACTCCAACCTGTAAGCTTTCTTCCTCTGCATGACTCTATGCGCTTTTCCCAGAGCCCAAATCTGTTGCTTCGCGAACTTACACTACTAGAGGCGGGCGGGAAAACGCGGGCTGGGAATCGCAGTCTAGAACCGAAAAGCAGCGGGCGGAGAGCCGGACGTACGGCGCCCGGGCCGGGGTCCTTTGGAGCGGGCAGGGGATTCCACCAGACAGGAGCACGCCCACAGGAGCCCAGCCGGGAGCCAGGCGTCCAGACTGGCTAATCACCGCCTGCTCTCCCCACCCCAGCCACGAACGACACTGGGGAAGCGCTGGGAGGCCATCTGTGCCGAAGCTTCGTATCACACAGGACCGCTTGCAAGGACAAGAATAAGAAATTCAGTAAATTAAAAAAGACATACTAGGCGAGGGGCACTGGTACAAGCGCGGCGGGGACGAGGCCTGGGGCACATCCTGGCGGCCGCTCGGGGACGAAGGACACGCGCGGTCCTGCGCGCGTGCTCGGCTGCGGGTGAGAAAGCGCGGGTGCGAGGGCGCGTTCCTGTGACCACGGGCGGGGGTGGGTACCGGGAGCGCGTTGTGCCAGATGCCCCAGACGTGCGCGACCCCCTCACCTAGCCCCCCCCCCACGTCACCCCCGAAATCTCGAGAACACGGTGGGCCGCGCGCGGGACTTTGGTGGACTTGGAACTTTCAGTCGCGCTTTCTGCCCACTCCGCAGGCCCCCGGCAGTAGGCGCTGGGGCCACTGCGCCCCTCGTGAAGGGGAACGGGGGCGGGGAGGGGACGGCGGAGTCCCCGCCGTCCCCTCCCTTCCCTGGACTTAAGAAGCCGCCGCGGCGGGGAGGCCCCTGCGGGCGGGCGTGGGGGCCGAGGAGGCCCTGGTGGCTGGGGCGGGCGGGGCGGGAGCTTCAGAGTCGGTGGGGCCCGGGGGGGGGGGGGGGGGGCGGGGGGACCGGGGGGTAGCGGAGGGGAGGGGAACGCAAGGGAGGGGAGGAGCCGCGAGGCCCGCGCTGCTTCCGAACCGGAAAGTTGGTCTTGCCGAAGTCCCGCCGCCCCGGCGTGCGCACTCCGCTCCGCTCCGGCCGCGAGCCTACGAGCCTGGCCGGCCGCCGAGGGAGCCTGTGGAGGGGACACGAGCCAGGAGAGAAGGTCCGGAGCGAGGGGGCACCTGAGCCGGAGCGGGCCCGGCGTGCCGAGTGGTGCCGCGACCCGCCGCGGAGGAAAGAAGGCGGCGGCTAGCTTGGAGCGCCCGGAGCGCAGGCGGCGCGGCGCCCGAGCGACCCGGCGAGACAAAGGCGCCGGGCCGGAGCCCTGCCCGCGGCCGCTCGCTCCGGGAGGGGCCGCCCGGCGGCGGCGGCGGCGGGGGGGCGCGGCGCGGTGCGCGGGCGACGGCGCAGACACTCTATAAAGGGGCGAGCCCGGCACGCCGGCGGAGACGGCGCCGCGCGGACGCCTCCAAAGTTTGCTGCTTGCGCCCTGCCGAGGGGCGGCCGCCGCGGCCCGAGCCGCACCGGGGCCCGCCGGAGCCGCACCTGGGGCGGCTGAGGAGCGCGGCGCCAGAGCGCGGGCAGCAGAGCCCGCGATGTGAGCGGTGCCGGGCAGCGCGCGCCCAGGTCCGGAGGCGCCGCGGCCCCTCCTCGCCCGCGCGACCGCTAATTGCGAGCGCGGCCTCATTTGCATAGGCCGCCGGAGTCCGCTGGAGGCCGGCCAATCGGCGCGGCCCTCCGCTAATGGCCATGCATTATTCACCAGCCTAATTGCTCAGCCCCATGCGCGGCCCGCGCAGCCGCCGCCGCCGCCCCGCGCCCCGCGCCCCGCGCCCACCCGGCCGCCCCGCGCCCGCCCCGCACCGTCCCCGCCGGCCTCCCCGCTGATGCCGCTGCCCCGCGCGGAGCCCGAGCGCCGCTAGCAGCATGTCTCGGCGCAAGCAGGCCAAGCCCCAACACCTCAAGTCGGACGAGGAGCTGCCGCCGCCGGACGGGGCTCCTGAGCACGGTGAGGGCCGGGGACCTCAGGGTGGCCGGGGAATCCGGGACGTCCACCGGGCTGGGAAGTGTGAATGGCGGGAGCGGCTGCGCGCGTCTCGGAGTGGGAGAAAGTTCCCCCGTTCCCGCGAGCAAGTGTCCGAGCTGCTCCTGGTCCCTGGGCCAGGTGGGCCGAGGGGATCTGGTCCCCACCGGAACGCGCGCGGCCGCGAAAAGAGTTGTGGGCCAAGTAAACTTGGCTCGGTTCCTCGGAGTTGGGGACCTGCGCGCGGAGGGCGTCGTGGCCTGGCCGGCTGGGGGACAGCTGGGAGCCAGCGCGACTGGAGACGGAGGCCGGTTCGCCTGGCGGGCGCGGGAGGGGTCAGTGTCGCTGCCTCGGCGCTGCCCGCCCCCCACCCCCACCCCGCCACCGGTCTCTCCGTGCTGGACTGTGGAGCCGGCCTTGGCGGCCACAGCGCCTCCAGAATACACCCAGACCCTGGCCTCGTTCGGGGCAGACCCCTGGGCAGGAGAACGCAACTGGGCCGACCTACCGCTGGACGCGGGCTGGGGAGGCCGCCGCCAGGCCAGCTTTGTTCGGCGCCGCGCGTCCGGGTGCCCGGGTGGTGCGCGCCCGGGGACGGCCAGGGGCCCGCGCGACCTCCCTGATCCCAGGCTGCGCTCCCAGTACCGCCGACAGGCCTCCTTGGGTGACCTCGGGCCTCGAAACCCGCGATGTCCCAGCGCGTTGACAAATCCAATGATCCCGTTCGGAAGCGAGTAGAAAGTAAATGTCTCTTGGCCTTTCCTTAATGGCCGACTTGGGAATTAAGCTGGGGGTGAGCACAGTTGTGGAGTTTGGGGCTGGTCCTTGCAAGCGGTAGGACCCCAGCACGTTTTGGTGGGTTTCAAGTTTTTCCTCAGGCCTTTTCGTGGCTTTTATGGATGCACCGAAATCGGGTGCTGCAGGCACCTTTTCAGTTATTTCGCTGGTTAGAACTTCCTCCTCAAAACATCCAAAAGTGAAGGGCGGGCGCCGCGGAAGTCAGAGGCAGGAGAAGATTCGAATTTACTGTAGCTGAACTTTGGCACCACAAAGTTTCAGGCACCCCGAATCCGCTTCACCGCGTTAAAAACCCGGCCTCGGGCTCCGGCGCACACTGCGGGGTTCCCGGGGCGTCGGGCAGGAGGACCGCGGAGGTGCGGCCGCGGCGACCCCTGATCCCTCAGCCACCGCGGTGTGAAATAATTTGTTCATTTTTTTAAAAAAATGGCTGTCCCACTCTTATGATGCATCTATTTAAGTTGTTCGGAGGCAGATAATAATCTTTTTTTTTTTTTTACTGTGAGAATTAGACCATCTGCGAAAAAATATTGAAGGAGTTTGAGAGTTTATCACACATGGTGCAAAGTTTGACAAAGCAGGCATATATCCACGTCGGAAGGAGAAAGTGAGAAAACGCCCGAAACAGGCCAGGGAAGAAGTGGATTGAATAAAACTTAAGACTCTGAGGTCTTTTTGTTGCTGTGGAGGTGAGGGAGCTGTATCTGCATCCAAGTCAGCCGAGATGGGAACAGGCGATATGCTAAAAAGAAACGCTTGCATATGTTGGGTAGATTAAGGACAAAGAATCTTTTTGTCATGGAAATGGATTTTTTTGTTTTGTTTACTTCTTCACATAGAATTTCTCACACTTGGTTTGTTTTGTATTGCCCTCAATGACTACATGATCAAATGAATGGATTTATTTCTGCCGAATGAGAAAGACAGTCTTTCCTTCAAAAGAACTACATTGCATCCCAGTGAGGAATTTTAAAGCTTTATTATTGTGGCTCCTGAATGGCTTAAAATCGGCTTTCACAGCCGCCCCAAAATGCAACAATGTAAATACTTCTCAGCTTTGTAGGGTCGTTATCAAAATGTGCAATGTCTCCTTTTATTAAAGCATATTTTAATTAATAGACTAAAACCTCTTGTATTTAACAATTAACAGGCAAGGCACCGCTGTTCATTTTTAATTTCACTTCAGAAATGTGAGCATGGTGAACTTAATAGTGTAAACATGTTGGAGGATCTACAGCCTGCTCGCCGTTGAAAACCTCGGATGAAGCAATTATTTACAATTTCTATTTTGAATTCTCCTTGCTGGGCTTGAATTTATTTAGAGGTTTGCCACATCCAGATTTTCCACCATAGCAGGACTGGAGATTTTGCCGGGCCTGTGTTTTCCAAGCTCTCCGGGTTCTGATCTCCGAGTTGCCACAGTTCCTGATCATATTTTGCAATAGGCCAAAAATAGCCTGTCTGGGTGAGCTGCAGTAAAGCAGCAGCTTCTCTGCCTGTTTGAAGGGTAGTTCAGGCAAACTATTACAGCAAGTTCTTTCTGACTTAATTGTTCTGAAGCAGATTGTTCATGAAGCATAAAAGATACTCTTGCCCGTGAAGTCAGGGAATACTCATGAGTGTTACTCTAAGATAACTAAGTAAAGGGCTTTTTAAGAGATAAATGGTTGTACAAACCAAATCACTCCAATATGAATCAGATCTCAGAATTTTAATTTTGTTAAATGCAGTGAAAATAAACATGTTGTACATGAAGTTATAAGTGAGCTAAGTCACAGTGTTTTAGAAGCAAAGTAAATAATTCCTTTGTATCACTTTAGGCATGACATATTAATTAAAGCAATAGGTCCATCTACCGTGCAGTAACATTGAAGCCTCTTGATAATGCCATGCAGATCAAATGCAATATGCAAGATTTTTTAGTATAATGGGGGGCAAAAATGCATAATCACATTAACTTACAATAAAAAATATTTTTTGTGACTTACGTTTCAGAATTTGTTTTTTAACCAAGCAATGAAAAATCACTATGCAAACATAGTTTTGGTTCTGTGTCCCTGAAGGAATGAAATGATGATGGATCTAGAAAGAGAAAAAGTAAAGATGATTCATGGAAAGGTCTAAAGTTATTTTTTTATTAAAACCTATTTTGCAGTTGTTGAGATTTACATTCCCAACAGAAACTGTCTTTTAAATTCTCTTGTTTTGCTAATTTATTCATTCTTAGTTTAGAAATAAATGTGGTGCATTGGGGGGTTCAGTTAAATCCACTCCACCAATAATGACATCCTTTGAACCAGCTGAAGATTTTTGTTCTAAGAAAGACTCATTAAAACTTCAGTGACAGTGCAGCACTTAACTCCCACTAAGAACTTTAAAGGTGTAATATTGCTATTCTGTGTCCCATAAAATGCAATTTAAGAAAGATGCATATTACTGCCCCCAGAAAGTATTTAAGGAAGAACAAAAGAACATAACAGTTTGAAGTTTTCCATCCTGCATTTTGTCTGTTGGCACTTAACGCTTCCAAGTATCTGTTTTCTGCCAACCTACAGAAAATGGCTATCTTTAAAAATCCTTTCAAATGTGGTGAGTGTAGGACCTAAGAATTTACCAGTGGAGTGGAATTCGCAGAGTGTGGTTAAATTCAGGGAAGGAAGGCCACCGTGATGGGTGAAGAGGTCCTTTTCTTTCATCTGTAGTTGTGGGGTCTGTCTTCATCCCCAACACACACACACACACACACACACACACACACACACACACATTTACAATTCAGCATACCAAAGGGGACAATACTGAAGCCACTTGTTTTTATTTGAAACATGAAAGGTGGAAAGTAACCAAGGGAAGGAGGAAAGGAACTTCCAAACATTTCTTTTTTAAATAACACTTTTAAAACTGAACATATTTTTAAATGAATATTCCAGTGGTCAACAGAAAGGATGCCAGTGAATTCTGTGTTACAGAGAGAGGTTATGGGACAGGGTCAGGCCATTCTTGCACACGATGCCGTGTGAATTTCCACAGCATATGCATAATCTGGTATAGATATGTTGTGTGCCAGAAAAAGGAAAAGGTGTGGAATGGCGGCAGGAATGACTTAGCAAGCTGATTGTTATTATTGTATTGTTTCTGTATACAAGGGGTGGGGACAGCAGGCAGAGTGGGTCAGATTTCACCTCCTGCTGCAGTCTCTGAGGAGCCCTGTGCTCCTGTCCAGGTAGACTTGAGAACGTGCTGTTCTGGGGTGCAGGACAGGCACAGCCATGCTTTCCACTCTGTAGCCTGGCCATCAGAGGGAAGTCAGCATCCTTAGAGGTAAGCATGGGCATAGGCTTTTACTTAAGTGAATTAAAACCCCTTTTTAACTGCTGCTGAGGTTATTCACCATCTCTTAATGCTGCAAGATAGTTTTAAGAAACATAATTTCTGAATACTGTGATAACAGGGGTGTTGTTTGATTTTTTTGCTGTTTTATTGACTTTTTCTACATGATTTCTTGACTCGTTGCCAGAATAAGACCAACATATCTTGGTTTCCTGAAGATGTAAGCTAATTCTGCTGCTGTGGGGCCGCTCTGTAATTACTGCATATGTTAACTTGCTACATATTTCATATAAAATTAAGCTTAAGTAAAACCCATGTGAAAAATGTTTTGATAATTACTTTAAGTAAACAAAAAAAACCCTTAATTTTTTTCTCTTATAATTTCAAGTGCAGTTAACTATGTGATTACCAGGCAAACAAATAAGGCAAGGCATGTTACAAAAAGTGTAAAATATTAATTTTGACAAAAAAACATGGAATGTCTGTGTTGGACATTAAGATTGATTTGCTTCTTAATTAAAGGGAAGCGTTTTGGGGGCTGAAGCAATGTCTGCAGAGGGGCCTCTGATGCCATTGTGGGTCTAAACATACCTCTGTGGGCCGGCCTTTCTCAGTCAGTCCCAGATTAGTTCTGCGGCTGTCGGGGATCCTGTCCCCTTTGCATTCTCTGTGAGTGTAGCGGCCACGCGGTGAGCCGTACAGAGCCTTTTGTGTGCCGCCTGTGGAAAGGTGGTTGCGGAGAGCTGGCAGCCCCTGGGGCTCTCCTTGAAGGTGGGCAGTGAAGAGTGCTTCAGCAGGGCCTTGCTGACTCGGCCCTTGCCTGCTCTGCCCTGCCAGGGGTGGCCACTAGATGTCAA